GGGGAGGGGGAGGAATGCGCAGAGGCTGCTAATTGGATAGTGAGGTGACCGATTTCTTATTTTCCTATCCGTGCTGCGCGGAGCTGTAGGAAGTCTGTGGGGTGAGAAGGACACAGGGGGCCATCTCTGGGTCTCTCTGAGATGGAGTTCAGAGTCGGGACCAAAGCTGCCAGCTGACATGTTTTATTTGGCCTGCCTGGTGTTTAAAAAAAGGTTTTAAAATAGATGCTGACATTTTTCAAAGGGGGAGGTTATACATAAACTTCTGCATTCCTGGCTTGTGTCGAGAAATTGGAAGATCTGGGCCCAAATCCCTGCAAGTGACCAAGCCGGGAAGCAGAGCCGGGCCCACCCCTTTAGACGGGTCACCAGAGTCCCCACCACCAGCTGGCTCCCTGCATCACCTCTCTGGCCCCGTAGGCATTTGAGCTTGTGACCCCAGAGGAAGGAAAGCCCTGCTTCTGAGGACCCTCACCAGTCTCAGGACAGGCGCCACCACGCAGCCCGTGACTCAGCCAGCCGACCCACGGCCAAGGCCACCAGCAAGGGCCACTTCCAGAGTCGGTTTAATGGCAGATTAAGTTGCCCATTACAACTCCATTAGAACGCAGCGTGATGCATCACTGGGTAAACGAGAGGGGCTGAAGTCGGAGACAGGTTCCTGGAGCGCTCCATCCAATTTAATTCTTCTCCTTTTTTTTTAAACCCGAGGCAGATGAGAGAGGAGACTGTAAATCACCCTTCCTTCGATGGCTCATCATAAAGGAGATGGAGAGAAATTAGAGGAGGCAAGAGAAGGGAAAGCAATGATGAACAAGGCAGAGGTTGTTACAGCGTGATTGAAGATGGGCAGAGAGCGCTGGAGAAGATGCTCGAAATCAGGCTCGGCCTCCTGGCCTGATTTGGCCATTCTGAATGAGTGGAAAAAGCCTCCAGCCCAGCCCGCTGCTCTGCCTCATAGCGTGTGATGACAGGAATGTGTGGCCAGAGAACTTTCTGAGACGGCACCTTATAATGCCAACTACATGGAATCTGAAGTCAGTCAGGATGTCTCATAATCCTCGCTCTGTTGTTTTTTGGCTTTGTGACTTTGGGTAAGGTACTTAACCTCTCTGAGTCACATTTTCCTCATCTATTAAATGAGGTAGACATCCTAAAGGCAAAGGGGGGTATCCAAAGTCATAGCAGCCCCTTACCAAGTGATGCTTTCTTCAGTGTAATGTTGTGAAAGAGATAAATTGGATGATCCCCAAATGAAGGTACATTTCACGACCCTCTAGCTCAGGTGGCGGTTGTATGGGGTTATCAGCAGGTTGTCCTTAGTTCCTCCTGAGGAAGGGCAGGAAGACTGTCCCTTGCAGGGTTCTAAGAGAGTCCGCACAGGTGAAACACAGGTAGGCAATGTTCACATGGGAGAACTCAGTCTCCGAGGATGGAAGGCCTCGGCTCACTGGGCTTCTCCAGGCCTCCCCAGCATGGTCACGAGCTGCTCTTACTGGATGGACACTGGTGCCCCCACCCTGAGGTTGTTCTCTGCCCTTCTCCCCTGCTCAGTGCCCTGGGATGCTGACGCCAGCAGCACCTCACCCACTGTCTTTGCTTGGGTTTCCCTGAAAGCAGAGCCTCCCATCAGGACTTGAGTGCTGCTGGTTTCTAGAGGGTTGGGGTGAATACGGAGATGCCCATTCAGATCCCTTCAGGGAAGGACTGACTGTGCCATCTGTCCACGGATTGTCACATTCTCCCGTCAATAGGTGCTGGGCCAGGCAGAGGCACCAGCAGGAGTTCAGAGGGTGAGAGGACAGGACAGTGGGCTCTTTCTTCCCTGCTCCTCCCACCTCCGCACCAGTGCTCGGGCAGCAGCCCCAACTTCCTCCTGGATGCAGGGCCCCTGAGATCAGAAACACTAGCCCCACCTGCCCCTTCAGGCTGAGGAACATAGGGGCTTCCCAGGTTGCTAGTCTCGGGGTGTCTCCCCCTCCCTTGCTTGTTCCCTTCATCCCACTCACTCCTCGCTTAATTGTCTCCTCACTAAAGCAGCTTTGGTGGAATGCTCTGTGGGGACCCTGATGGACACGATGAACCAGGCCGCCTCTGGAGGCTGAGCGCCTTGTCTCTGAGTGGCCCTCCAGGCCCCGTGGGCCCCACCTACTCCAGCTCCTCCATCTCTCCTCCCTCCCAGCCAGTCGGGGTCCCCCACGGCGTCTGTTCACATTTGAATCTATTCCTTGTAGACAAATTTATTCCCTCCTCCTTCATGACTTTGCCTTTTGATTTGGAGGAAGAACAAAGCCCATCTCTGCAAAGCTGTGAAATGTTTTGCTTTCCCACACACCAGCTTTGAACATCAGAAACATTGCCTTTCGTGACTCTTGGTTTCTTGGAAATGGGCTTCAAGTGCCTGTTTTGGGAGTTAAAATCTGAACATCAGCGCTTTTCCCCTCTCCGCGTTCCTGCCACACGGTCCCAGGCCTCTCTGGGGGGATGGACCCCTCAGGCTGTGTAGAAGGAAGTCATCTAAAAGAAACGTGGAAAAAAAGGAACAGTCCTCCTTTTCAGGAGATGTTTCTCCAGCCACTTCTTTTCCACAGGTGGGAGGTGGTGTGGCGGCAGACTTTCCAGTGAATACACGACCACTTCTCCACTTCCGTCCCCCAATGCACACCTTCTCCAGAAATTCTGGAGTACCCTGTGACTGTTCCTTCAACAAGTATCGAGTGCCTACTGCATGCCAAATAGCCGGGTTCTGGGAAGTGACTCCCACCCCCTGCCACGGATTTATAATCTATGTCGTGTGGTAGAGATTAATCCAATGGTCACACGAAGTGTGGCATTGTAGTTTTGCTTCGCACCTGCTGTTCCCTCTGCCTGGAGTCTTTTCCCTCAGGTATCTACACGGCTCGCTCCATACCTCCTCCAGGTTTTTTCACAGCCATCATTCTTCATGGAGGACCTCTGTGGCCACCCACATCCCTGCTTCCTTTTTTCTCTTGTTTCCTTGTTTATGGTCAGTCTGTCCCAGAATGTAAGCTTCATGAGAATAAGGCTTTTAATTCTTTTTTTTCTAGTCTTTTTTTTTTTTCTCTACAGTACTCTCAGAACTGAGGACAGTACATGGCACATTGTAGATGCTGAAACAGTGTTGATTGAATGAATGAACCATAGCAAGTGCTAATAAGCATGAGGCTGAGACGAAAGGCTTCACAGGGGAAGTGACAATCAGGCTGATCTGACAAAGATTAGGAGGCGCTAACTTGGCCTAAAGGAGAAAGGACTAATTCCAGGCAGGCAACACGAGCATGTGCAAAGGCCCTGGAGTGAGTTGGAGCATGGTGGCCTTAAGGAACTAGAAGGAGTTCAGTAGGCTTCAAGCACAGAGGATGGGACAGAGATGTGATGGAGTTGTAGGAACAGCTGCCCCTTAGAACAGCAGTGCTGGGAACTATTCCCGTGTTCACAACTCTGGGAGGAAGGTCCTACACGTAGCCCCTTTTAGAGTTGAGAAAACAAGGGCCAGGGAGTGTAGAGCACTTGTGCAATTCACAAAGGCAATGAGCAGCAGAGTTAGAATCCAAACCCAGGGACTTTACCGGCAGAGCCTGTGGTCTTAACCTCCATGGCCTTCCCTCTGTGTAGGAGGAGTAGGGGAGGGCGGCACCTGGGGGGCCTTGGAGTGACGTAGAATCCAGTTTGGGAGCCGGGGGGAGCCAGCAGATACAGGCTGAACATCTCCCGGGGGGCTTCTCCCTGTCCCCTTGGCTCTGCACCCCCGACCCCGCCCGGCCCTCGGAGCCACACCTGCCCTAACTGGATTGACTGTTCAAAACTCGTTTCCCTTTTCTAGTCAGGATGCGCAAAAGCAGCCGAAATCCCCTGAAGGTTTGGCTGTGTACCAATAAGACCTCTTCAGAGACTGTTATGAAGCTAGTGCTGTGTTCGCTGGGATGATGGGTTACTTGAAAAGGCATTAACTAGGTCATCTGTAGTGCAGTGTGGGTGGTTCTCCACTTGGCCGCCCCCTTGACTCACCTGGGGAGCTTTTGAGAAGTCGCCATGTCCAGGCCACCCCCTGACCAATTGTATCAGAAGCGCTGGAAGTGGGACCCAGGCATCAGTACTTTTTAAAGCTCCCAGGGAAGCCGAATGAGCAGTCAGGTTTGAGGATCGCAGGCCCTCGCTGCTCAAAGGGTGGACCAGTCACCAATTGCAGCATCCCTGGGAGGCTTGTTAGAAATGCGGAATCTCAGGCCCCACTGCAGATCTGCTAATTCAAGATCCGCGTTATACTAGGGGATTCCTGTCCACATCAAGGTTTGAAAAGCGCTGCTCTAGGACCGCACTGCCCAGTACGGTAGCCACTAACCGCCTGTGGCTATTTAGATTTAAATTAAAAATCCAGCTCCTCCATAGCACTAGCCACATTGCAAGTGCTCCATTGCCCCATGTGACTGGCGGCTACCCTATTGGACAGTGCAGATATAGACCATTTCGATCATTCCAGAAAGTTCCATTGGACAGCATTGCTCTAGAATATTCTGGAAAAGGGTGCTAATCCGCTGCGATCTTTTTCCTTTGGAGGCTACAGACATACAGATGGACAATGCTACCCCCTTGGAGGGGACAAAATTGAGATACATTCAGCTGGGCACATGAGGGGCTATATCTAGATTATTTATTTTCTCTTCATTTTAAATAAATCAAGAACACAGCCTTATCTTCCCAAGGCCTGGATACGTGCAGTTGGTGGGGTGGCGAACAGATGAGTGGGGACTGCGGAGAAATGTGAGAAGTGAGATCAATTTCAAGTGCTGGCACAGAATGTGAGACGGTGGCCCTGGTCCCCACCCTCCCCTGTCAGCCCCGCCCAGGCAGCCAGAGCACACTCCCCAGTCACCACGATGCAGAAAAGTGCTGGGCAACTGGGCGTGACTGATTTGTGGCTCCAGGTGCAAATATGAAAAGCGGGCGTTTTGTCAGCTGAATAATAGCCAAGCTGCAGTGTGACGTGGCTGGGGGCTTAGGTGGTTTTTCTTTGCGGGAGGGAGTTCAGGCGCTTCGGCAAAACCCTTCCTTTTTTGGGGAAAGGCCAGGCGATGTTTCTCCACGTAGACAGTTTGGTTGCTGACAGCAGGATGCATAATGCAGCGAGAGCTGCACGACATGATCGTGACAGACCACGCCAGCGGGGGCAAGTGAAGTGCCTCTTCCTGAGCAAAGATGCTCTCCATCTAGACAGCTGCTCCGCCGGCTGACAGGAGGTGAGGGGCAACGCCCAGCAGGCAGATCATTTGTTTATTTACACAGTCCTTTGGTGCTCTCTCTGCAAATTACCACCGGGCAGGAGCAGGTTCAAAAGGTGAGAAAGCAAAATGGAGAGTGCACCAACATAGTGTATCCCACGACATGGCAACATTGCTGTTTAAATCTTTACAAAATTTCAGCTGTTGATGCTCAGTTGGTAGGGTTACATAGTAGTGCTTGCATTTTTAAGTTGTTTTGTGATTGTTTTATGAGGTTGGTCCTCATGACTACTTCAGGAGGAGGTCAGAGCAAGTTTGATCGTCCCCTTTAAAGGGAAATAAAGCCCAGAGTGGTTAAGCGATTTTTCTAAGGTCATCCAGCTGCTAGTGAGTTGGAGACTTAAAGCAGTCATTCATTTATTCAGAACTATTCATTGCAAATCCTGAGTGCCCGGCTCTGTGGATGTTTCTGCACAGTCTTTGTTTTCCTGGAGCTTGAATTCTAGAGAGGCTGACAGAAAAAGAAATGAGGCAAATTAACAAATTCGATGATCACAGATTATGGCAAATGCTATGAAGGAAAACAACAACGACAAAACCCCAAGTTGAAGATAGAAGAGCTGGGAGAGGGATGGGCTACGTGGATAAGCTGATTTGCAGTTTTCTCTGAAGAGGAGGCATTCGTGCCGAGAGTTGGAGAGTGACAGGTAACCGGCCAAGGCAAGAGTGGGAGACAGTATTCCACGCAGAGGGAACGGCACAAGCAGAGGCTGTGAGGCTGTGAGGCAGGCGGGCGTCTGCTACGTGGGCCGCCTAAGGAAGGCCTGCGAGCTGCGCCCTGAGACGGAGAGCAGTTAGTGACAGTAGCGCCTAGCTGCCGCCCACCTCCCTCGCCCCATCGCACCTCTCCAGCGAAGGGGCATTTTGTCTTTACCCCTCAGTTCCTCCTCCTCGGGGCCCCCCACTGAGAGTTGGTTCTGCCAGCACAGTTCCAAGGTTTTGTGCTGTAGCATCAGGAGGATGGTGGAGAGAGAGAGGTCTGGAAAACTGGAAGGAAGGGCAATGGGCTGCACAGACCTGAAGCCTGGGTGTCAGCGGCAGCTGGAGTAGAATGTGAGAGTGAAGCATCGAGAAAGAGTCAGAGGGCAGAGTTTCCAGAGCAGCTGCCAGCTATGGGAAGAGAGGCAGAGGGCCACAATAGCTTGTGAATGGCAGCCTCTCCATCTCGTCTGAGAGATTGTTTTGGCTGGGTCTCTCTTTCTCTCGACAGGCTATTGCCCAGAGACTGGATTACATGGGCCCTAAAGTTTATGCGAGTTACTCTAAAATATAAGCCCCAACCGACAGCCTGCCGAGTTTCTCAGAAGTCCGTCTGATAAAGATGGAGTCTTGCATAGAGAGATTTGAGCAAGAGTCGTGCAGCAAATAACACAGGGTTATTTTCTTCTCTGCTCCTACTCCAATTTGCCCAGCATAATATCCCCAGTGACCATTGCATTTGGAAATCTGAACTTACAGGACAGACCTGCGTGCATTGTGAGGTTGGCCCTTGTTGGGTTGCATTGGGGGCAGGGGGGCGGGCAGAAGGGGCAGTAATCATTATCATTATCAGAAGCATTTCTCTAGCACTCGCTTAATGTCAGGCATCATTCTAAGCACATGACACGCATTCGTGTATATAACCCGCGTAATATCCCCACAGGACTGATAGGTACTATTTACATCTCTATTTCACAGAAGGGGAAACCGAGGCATAAACTCAGAGTTAGTAGATGGCACAGCCAGAGTCGGAACTCAGATGGTTTGGCTCCACGGCACCTGCTGTTCAGCACTGTAGAGGGACCTAAGAGACCCCTAAGGTCTCATCTGATCCCCCCCATTGGCCACAGTTCCTGACTAAATGTGACAATCACTGCTGGCACTTAGTAAGGGCACAGCATTGTCCTAAGAACTTTACACAAAATCTCTTGTTATATCTTCTTAACAGTTCTTTTTGAGAGGTACTGTTATTCTTCCCATTTGACAGATGAGGAAACAGATTCCGAAAAGTAAGGAATTTGGTCACGTAAATAAGTGGTAGAGTCCAAATCCAAATCCAAGAGTTGAAGTCCCGAGCCTGAGCTTTGAACTAACAACTGGTCCCTTTTTTTCTTTTCTTTTCTTTTCTTTTTTTTTTTTGGTGAGGAAGATTTGCCCTGAGCTAACGTCTGTGCTAATCTTCCTCTATTTTGTAGGTGGGTCACATTGAAGTTCTAACCTTCAGTACCTGTGACTTTGACCTTATTTGGAAATGGGGTCTTTGCAGAAATAATCAAGTCAAGATGAGGTCATTAGACTGGGCCCTAGTCCAATATGACCGGTGTCCTTGTAGGAAGAGTAGTGACACAGCCATAGATACGCACAGAAGCAGGCTGATGTGATGACACACAGGGAGCACACCATGTGACAACAGAGGCAGAGATAGGAACGATGCATCTACAAGCCCAGGAATGTCAAGGATTGCCGGCAACACTAGAAGCTAGGAGAGAGCCATAGAACACATTCTCCCATAGCACCCTTGGAGGGAGCATGGTCCCGCCAACACCTTGGTTTCAGACTTCCAGCCTCCAGACTATGAAAGAATAAATTTCTGTTATTTTAGGTGACCTAGTTTGTGGTACTTTGTCACAGCAACCCTAAGAAACTAACTCATTGAGCATCTCACACAGTGCCTTACACAGAGTAGGTAATTGGCAAAGGCTTGTTGAATCCACATGGCCGTAGCTAATTTCTCTCACTAGTTCTTTTACAAACTATTTAGTGTTTATTGCAACGTACCTTGCAGTACGTTGGTAGAAGCTCAAATTTCCTAAACCTTTGGTTGTTTGTCATTCCATCCCTATATCTACCCTTCCCCACCAACTGCCCTTGCTGGTAAATTCCATATGTATAATGTTTGTGAGGGAGAAGAGAGCTTCCACTAATATATTGGTTATATAATGCTGCATAACAAATTGCTCCAAAGTCTAGCAGCTTAAAACGACAATAATCATCTGTTATTTGTGGAGTTTCTGTGGGGCAGCTTGGCTGGGAGGTTCTGACTCAGGATCTCTCATGAGGTTGCAGTCAGATGTCACCCAGGGCTTCAGTCATCCGAAGGCTCGACTGGGGCTGGAGGGTCCACTTCCAAAGTGGCTCATTCACACGGCTGGCAAGCTGGTGCTGGCTGTTGGCAGGAGGCCACAGTTCCTCTCCAAGGCTGATTGAATGCTCTGATTGCTTAGTGGTTGGCTTCCCCCAGGCTGAGCTATCCCAGCAAAGAACAAGGTGCAAGCTGCAAAGCCTTTGTGACCTTGAAAATCACATACTGTCACGTCTACCATGTTCTATTGTCCACACAGGCCAGCCCTGACTAAATGTGGGAAGGTATGAATACCAGGAGGTGAGGATCATTGAGGGCCATCTTAATTAGTCAAGACCATACAATCTCAACAGAGATGACATCACCCCTCCTCCCGCAAGCAGGCAAAAATTTGTTCTTGGAAGAGACAAAAAAAATCTTACTCTTTTTATGTATAAAGCACAGACATAATGTTTATGTTGATAGCACATAAACAGATATGGAGTACATCTGTGGTACTAAAATCTCATGGTGAGACAATCAGACAATAAAGAAAAAAAGTGCCTAGAAAGTCTTCTTAGTGGGGCGATAATAAGAAAAGTGGTTGAGAAACACTGGCTAGAACTTTTTTGGTTGCAAGCGATGAAACCTAATTCAAACTGACTTACGCAAAAACAAAGTCCAGGAATGTAGGCTTTAGGTATGGCTAGATCCAGGGGCTCAAGTGCTGTCACCAGGGTTTTTTCCTGCATATTATATGCAGTCTGTCTCTAAGCAGCTTTCCGTGAGGGCCTCTATGAGTGAAGTTCACATCCTACTACCAGCTGAGCCCTCTGCCTCCCACTACCCATCCCAATGGGAAAGTTGTTTCCTTCCTCTTAGCTCTGCAGAAAAGCCCCAGAAAGGACCCACATTGGCTCATCTTTGGACATATGTCCATCTATGATTCTGGAACCAACTGCAATGTATGGGAGTTTTTCCACACTACCAAGCAATTCTCTGTGACGCCAGCTGGGTGTCCTACATTCAGCTCAATTCTGACACTCTCTCCCTGGAGACAGCGTCAGATCCCACAGGTTAAGAGCTCAGTCTTATAAGACTGCCCCCACTACACACACACACGTAGTTTAGATGACAGTTCCAAGTCCAGGTTGCCAGCTATGCTTCCGACTGTACCTCCTTGGGTTTAATTAATTTGCTGGAGTGGCTCACAGAACTCAGAGAAACATTTTACTTACTAGATCACCAGTTTATTATAAAAGGATATAACTCAGGAACAGCCAGATGGAAGAGATGCTCAGGGCAAGCAAAGGGGAAGGGGTGCGGAGCTGCCATGCTCTCTCTGATCAAGTGCACCACTCTCCCCAAATCTCCACGTGTTCACCAACCTGGAAGCTCTCTGAATCCTGTCCTTTTGGGTTTTTATGGAGGCTCCACTACCTAGGCATAATCGATTAAATCACGGGCCTTTGGGGATGGAACTCCATCTCTAACCCCTCTCCCCTCCCTGGAGGTCAGGGGTGGGACTGAAACTTCCAACCATCTAATCACAGGGTTGGTTCTCCAGACAACCAGCCCCATCCTTAGGTGTGGTCCAAGGGTCACCTCATTAACATAACAAAACACACCTTTATCACTCTCATCACTTAGGAAATTCCAAGGATTTTAGCATCTCTGTGACAGAAACAGGAGGAAGACCACATGTGTATTTCCTATTATAAATCACAATATCACACCGTCCCTTGAGGAAGAGGGGAGAGGTGGCCCTGAGTTAACTCCTGAGCCACAAAAGATCTGAGTTGATGTCAGAAAAAGAGGGAAAGATTACAAAAAGGCAGAAGTGACAGATACCTATTGGAGGCGATTGTGAAATGCTGCTCAGTCCTAACAAGACTAGATTAGACAGCAGTGTGGGCATTAAGATTCCTGGGTATGTGGACAGAAAAAAAGAAGACAAGAGACCTTCAGCCATTTCACTGTGCTGTCCAGGGAGGGCCCGTTTCTCAAGAGAGTGTAGAACAGCAAGAAAGACGGGGCTTCCTAACCTGATAGGTATACATTCAAATCCAAACTCTACCAATCACCAGCTCTGAACCTCTCAGACCTCCACTTTTGTCATCTGTAAAATGGGAGTAATGGTATTCACCCCACAGGATTGTCACCAGTATTAGTTGAGACTATGCGCGTAAAGTATCCAATAGAACACTGGCTTATGGTAGCTAAAAGATGAGAAGAGGATGAGGATTGTAAGGAGCAGGCGGAAGTATTTATTCTCTATTTCAGAGAGGGAAGGGCACATCCCTGATGAGGATCCAGGCTGCCCCAGGGAGAGAAGCCTAAGGCGTCCTGCCCTACACACTGAGCTATTTCATCCTCGGGGAAGCATGGGACGTCCTGACCTGATCGCACCTGATTTCACCTGATTTATATCCAAAGTTATAGGACCACTCAATAATCAGACCCCGTCTTCACTGATACCATTTCAACAACTTTTTACATGGTCTTTTCCTTTGTATTGTAAAGAAATAACTCACATACCTATGCCTTATAAATTTAGTCCTGCCCTCAACCCATTGCAGCTCTTACTGCCTATGGCTCCTGTCCCCATGCTGGCAGCTCTTACTGCCCATGGGTCCTGTCCCCATGCTGGTCTCTGAATAAAGGAGCACTACTGCTAGACCTTGAAAATCCAAGAAATCTTTCTTTCAGCTCCTCAGCACACCTAGCCCACGTCATTCCCCACCCCAAAAGTTTTCTGTTCTTATATCACTTTAAGCAATGTTAAAATCCCCAGGAGAGAGGCTCGAATTGGTCAAGCTTCGATGATGACAAAGGCCAGAAGAGATCAGCACACCTTGCCTAGACTGTACAAAATGGGGGTGAAGTGGTTCCCCAGAGGAAAATTGGTGTGATGTTAGGAGAAAGAGAGGAATTGGACACTGAAGGAAAAGCACAGATGTCCACTGCAGACATCCTCCAGTGCAGTGTTCCAGGAAGTTCTGAACTGCACTTTGGCCCCTACCTTCCCCTTGTGTCAGTTTTCTCCACTGCTGGCACCTAGAGAGAAGGAGGAGTGGGTGACTGTGGCTGACGCTGTCGGTGGCCTCCCCTAAGGACCTTTCTCCATCTTCCTCATTGTTGGCAGAATCCAATCCTGATCAAATTCAAGAGTTCACTGTCCCCTGTTAGGAGAGGAACGTTGCTTAGTCTCATTTGATCATGGTGATTTCACTACCCTTGCCAGCAACCATGGGCACATGGCTACCATAGCCGATGGGATCTAATGGGATATTACTGGGGGGCTCTGGGAGAGTCATTCCTCCTGAATACAAAGAGACACATGAAAGAAAACTCTCCTCTCTTCTTTGGGCAGATGATATTGGGTTCCCATCTGATACCTGCAACTGTGGCTGCCATCTTGGAAGAATGAAGAGGCAAGTCCAAGAGCAAAGTCAACTTGATGAGGGTCATAGGACAGAAAGATGGAAAGAGCCTGATCCTTGATCAAGTCAATCATTTGCTGATCTACCCATGGAAACTCGTACTCAGACTTCTTGTAATGTCTTATTTTCTAAGCTACCTTTGGATAGGTTTTCTGTTACTTGTAGACAAAGCATCTGAATGATATGTTCCCGTCCACCTCTAAATCTCCAATGACAATCAGGAAAGCTTATACATCAGTGGTTCTCAAAGTGTGATCCCTGGACCAGCAGCATCAGCATCACCTGGAAACTTACTAGAAATGCAAATTCTCAGATCCCATCCTGGTCTTCCTGGATCAGAAAGGAGGAGTGGAGGCAGCAGCAATGTGTGTTTTAACAAGCCCTGCCGGCAATTGTGATGCATCCTGAACTTTGCCAAGCCCTGCTTTATATATTCCTCTGTTATACTAATGTCAGAACTAACTGCTGGGAGTCTGAGGGTCACTCATTATTCCTTCTAATTCACCCTTTCCTATCATGGCTTCAGTCAATTCCACTATCTCTAAAGCTCAAAAAAAAAAAAAAAAGAAGAAGAAGAAGAAGAAGAAGAAAGAATTTGAAAACTGTTGGCTAAATAACCTTTGTGCCTTGAGTTTCACTTTGCTTACTTGGGTCATCACCTCCTTCAAGACGGGATGTTGGGTTTCTGGGGAAGTCCATAATAGCTAGAATGTGGCAGATAGTTCCGAAATGCTTAGAAACACTAATAATCTTTGTTGTTAATAATAGTCCATGGGGATCTCCCTTGAACTTTCGGAATTGAAGTTAGTAAGGAAAGCTGGGGGTTTGTACACTGTTAGGGGTAAGCAAAGAGAAATGGGAGGAGCAAAGGAAGTCTGAGAATAATGGAAGAGAAAAGAAATGAAGAAAATCACAGCAAAAAAAAAAAAAAGAGAGAGAGAGAGAGAAAGAAAAAAGAAAAGGAGAAGAAAATCCTCTGGCTAGGAAAGTAAGTGAAGATGGATTTGTTTACTCGTGTAACCATGGGCCCATTTAGAGACAGTTCAAATAGACCTCATCTCTTATCAACAAAGTGGTTAAGGATTGTCTTTCAGGAAAACTGCAAAGTCACGAAGCCAGAGCATGTGTAAAAGAAGAAATCGTGACCTGAAACAACCTGGGAACTGTGGGGGACTGGAATTGGCCAACCCAAGATACATCTCTTTGGCATGAGGATTATTTTAGGGTGGTTACTTTTAAAAACTGCAGACAGGAAAGAAACTGAAAAGTAGAATTTACTTACCCTTTGTTAAGAGACATTTACATTTGTAAAGGAAATCTCCATCTGTAAAGGTGTCTCCCTCTCTGTACCAGGAAGAGGGGGGATGACCTTATCTCTAGAAACCCTTATCAATGCGGAAGGCAAGGACTTAAATCTGCATAATAACCTTACTATTGTTCACTGTGCTTTTCTGGTCATCTCCCATAACTGACTCCTCCTACCCCCAACATCCTCCTTTGTCTTTAGCTGAGGAGGGTTTTTAAGGGGAGAGCTTCTGCCATTTTGGCAAGTTGCTCAGTTTGCCTGAGCCTCTCCCATGTATACATGTTATAAAGCTTTGTTTAATTTTCTCCTGTTATTCAGTCTCATGCGAATTTAATTTGTTGTCTGGCCAGCAGGACCCAGAGCGGGTAGAGGAAATGTCTTCCTCCCCACAGAACCCAAGGACCAGGACACGACCAGAACTTAAAAGTCAGACTCTTATAGAAGTGAAGGGTCCCTCCTTCAGGAAGACCCGGTGTTAAAATTCCTTCCCCGCCTTATCAAAAATGTTTAGAACCCCATCACAAATGTTTAGAACCCTGTCATAAATGTCTAAAACCTTACCATAAATGCTTGAAGCCCACCAATCAAAGCCTGTCCCACCAGCATTTGTGTGTGCCACCCTGTTCTCTGTAATCCCTTAAGTTTCACCCCAAATCCTGAATCAAGGAGACAGATCTGAGGGCACATGCCCCCTGTCTCCCTGCAGATCGATCTTGGAGAATAAAAGCTGATTTCTCCCCACAAAGGCCGATGCCATAATTAATTGGCTTGTTTATATGCATCGGGCAGAGAACCCCAACTTTGTGCGGTAACACTGGGACTCAATGCATTTAAACCAATAGAGGAGAACCAAGGAGGTGATCCAGGTTGGGGAGTGGTATGAGCAAGGTGTCAAGGAAGGCGGACCCGAGACATGTCTGGGAAACTGAGCAACCATGGATAGAGGATAGAACAGTCCACAGGAGGCGCTGGGTGGCATGAGAACCACAGCAGGGCTGAACTGTGGCACCACTTCCTGCCAACTGTGGCCTTGGACAGCTTCCCTAGCTTCTAAGCCTCAGTTCTGTCCGCAGTCAACAGGCTCAACAATACTTATGTCAGCCTTGGTGGGCGGTTTATATGAACCAATGTGCTATGGACTGAATTGTATCCCCCTCAATTTGTATATTGAAGCCCTAACCCCTAATGTGATGACATTTGGAGGTGGGGCCTTTGGGAGGTCATTGGGGTTAAATGAGGTCATGAGGGTGGGGTCCTTATGGTGAGATTAGTGGCTTTAGAAGAAGAGGAAGAGAGAGAAATCGTGTTCTCTCCACCATGTGAGAACATAGCGAGAAGGTGACCGTCTGCAAGGCAGGAAGAGCGCTCTCACCAGAAACCGAATCAGCCAGCACCTTGATCTTGGACGTCCAGCCTCCAGAACTGTGAGAAAAATAAACGTCTGTTGTTTAAGCCCCGCAGTGTGTGGTGTTTTGTTATGGCAGCCTGAATAGACTAATACACGGCATATGTCAGGGACCTTGCAGGGTACTTAGCTCATTATAAGTGCTCAATAAATAAGTTAATAAGATTCATAACAATAAACACATTAACAGGCAATAAGTTTGGAAGATGAGATTGCTAAGTTCTTTGAATGGCTGAGCTAAGTGTATAATTTATGGTGTGGACAGTGGGGAATTGGTGAGCAGGAAACAAAAAGAGGAAGCATATGTGTGCAGAATTCTGAGGTCGAAATGACAATAGAGCATTATGTAAGGCGGGATCCTGCAAACGTTAGCCTCACAATCACCTGGAGGGCTTATTAAAACAGGCTGCTGCTGACCCCACGCTCTCTTTTTTGGATTCAGTAGGTCTGGGATGGAGTCAGAGAATTTGCATTTCAAATAAGTTCCCAGGTGATGCAGATGCTGCTGGCCCTGGGACCACACTTCCAGGGAGGGAGGAAGAGAGAGAATAAAGACTGGCGTGACCTTTGGCTGATGACTTGCTGTGTGGAATGGCCGCAGAATGCTTACTCTGCGAATGTTCAATCCACTCTGTGGTAGATGAAGGATAATGTAGGTGGTATGTGGAGCTGCCAAAAGAAATTGCTACAAGTACAGCAAGCAATGATGGCATTGCGTTTCTGTTTTTGTTTCAGGGGTAAACCACTCTAATTAGAAAACTTGCAAAACCCTGACTTGTGAAGTGACTAGATGTTGGAATGGGAGAAACGTAGCTTTCCTTCTTATCCAAGTTGTGGATTTCTGTTCAGGATGACTGTTTGGGGCCAGTTGCTAAAATGACACAGACTAGTTGCAAGGCAATACCATAAATAATGTTGGTAAAGTCATTAAGATGTTTGGTCGGGTATAGGATGGTAGGACAGAGACAGTCTGTCATTCACGTTATTTTTCTTACGACCCCAAGGTGAACGTTCGTTGTTTCTTCCACTCGGCATTCCTTCCTCCTTTACATATGTGCCCGCACTCTCCTCTCATCTTTCTTTGGGAAATTGCTTGTCACTGTAGAGTTCCGTATGGTACTTGTCAGGCTGCCAAACTCCTTAGTCCTCCCTCTGACCACAAGGGAGGGCGTGGGATCACAGTGTCAATCCCTCCATCCCCAGGGATGGGCTGAGGAGGCATGTGACCCAGCATAGCCTATCGGAATCCTTCTCCAGGATCCATGTGTGGGCGTCAGAAGAGAGACGTCTCTTTCCTCTGAAGGTGCTAAGATGGAACGATGTGAGTGAAGCGTGCGGTTCCCCCAGTGTCCATGCGAGGATGGAGTCCTCTTGTCACACAGGGAATGAGCCCAATCCATAGAGAAAAGAGAGTCTGAGACTTGGAGGGGACGGGCGGGGGGATCCTTAGTTTGCTATCACTAGAGTCTCAGGGCTGATACTATATGCAAATTTTCACTTGCGTGAGTCAAACAATTTCCCCTTTTTACTTAAGCTTTGAGTTGGTTTCTGGCACCTTTACCTAAAAGAGTCTGAACGGTCAAGTCCATTCACCGACCTGTGACCTTCTAACTTCTAACACTCGGTTCATGCTGGGAAATTGCTCATTGCCTACTCCACTGCCTACAGCCGTGTAGGAAGAAGTCCTTCGGAGCTGTCTGAAATTTCAGGGCACTGTTCCCATAGGACTCTCCAAGCTTTCAGTTTGGGAATGTTAATGGAAAAGGAAAAAAGAGAGAGAGGGCTTACCAGTCTTCAAATGCGCGAGTCAGTCTGTTTAGGAGAGAAAGAGGAAGGAAGAGTGGAGGAGGACACTGGGAGAGTTTTGAGTGGAAGAGATAAGACAGGGTCTTCGTTATCAGGTGGTGAAAAACTTGATGCTCCCTGGTGGTCAGGAACTTTTCTTACAAGAAGCACACTAGTACCTTTCATTTGTCAGAGGAACTAACAGTTCTAGGAGAGCCGATCAGGGTTACGTGACATAACCTACATATTTAACTAAAGAGAATTCACCTGCACATCCACAGCAAAAAGAGTAAGAAAAAAGAGTAAATTTCAACAGTGAAGCCATTTCTTCTGCTCATCCCAGCCGATGGGCACGTGAGAGCGTGAGTTGCTACCTCTCACAGTGGAGCAAATCGCTAGGCTTGTGGGCATTTGAAGGGATTTTCCAAAAGCAATTTTAACTGTACGTAATTTTCATCTTTGTGAACATTTAGAACTCGACTCCCTAAATAAGATGAGACACCCACCACAACAAGCCCTATATTTAAAGTTTGTACCAAAACAGCTTCAGCGGGATTGGGGGGGTGTGTGTGTGCGTTTCTCAAAATGTATCTGGTGATTATTTGAGGCTCAGTATTAATAAGCCATATACTAACTGGGTTCTATATTGTTTGAAATCAAAATCTCTTTTGGATTCCTCTGCTCTTCTGGGCTGTTGTAAATGACAAGCACATCAAAATGCCTTGTGATGGCTGCTGTGTGGGAAAAAAGTCCACTCAGCCCTATTTACTGGACAACTTTTATCCCATTGAATAAACTCTGGGCTCTCAGGCAGCGACTGTGCCATCAATGACACACATGAAAGGCTGCACTTTGTGGCTGGTCTGTTTTATATGAGGTGGGCACTTGCTGTTCTACTTGCCTGGTGGCACTTTTTAATTGGAATGATTTTTATTGGGTCTGATTTCCTGAAATAGAACACACTGCCAGCTTCAGAAACCCCAGAACGTCTACCAGCCCAGAGAGCACACTGTCCTGGGTGCTTGGCTTAATTGTCTGGGGAAGAGACACAGCTGTGGGGCGGGGGGAATGGCAGCATATTCAAATCT